TCCCCCTCGCGTCAGACATCATCAGTCGCCTGCGCCAAGCCAAGTACTTCACCAAGTTTGACGTCCGTTGGGGCTACCACAACGTCCGCATCAAGGAGGGCGACGAGTGGAAGGCCGCGTTTACAGTCCACGATCGAGGCCTATTTGAACCGCGGGTCATGCTGTTTGGACTCACCAACTCCCCCACTACGTTCCAAGCCTTGATGAACTCAATCTTCGCTGATCTGATCGCCGCAGGAAAGGTTGCTGTCTACCTCGATGACATCCTCATCTTCAGCACCACCCTCGAAGAGCATCGCGCCGTAACCCACGAGGTGCTGAAACGACTCCAGGAACACAACCTCTACCTGCGACCGGAGAAGTGCGAGTTTGAGAAGACGGAGGTAGAGTACCTCGGCCTGATCATCCGTGAAGGCGAGGTGGCCATGGACCCGGTCAAAGTCAAGGCCGTCACCGAGTGGCCAGCCCCCAAGAACCTGCGCGACTTACGCGGCTTCCTAGGGTTTGCCAACTTCTACCGTCGGTTTATCAAGGACTTCTCCAAGCACGCGCGACCGCTCAACGACCTGACCAAGAAGGACGTCCCCTGGACTTGGGGAACCGCGCAGCGACTCACCTTCCAAGCCCTCAAGGACGCGTTTACGAGCGAGCCCGTGCTAGTCTCTTGGGATCCGGCTCGGCCCACGCGGATCGAGGTGGACGCTTCTGGCTTCGCGACCGGAGGAGTGCTGCTGCAGAAGTTGGACGATGACCTCTGGCACCCGGTGGCTTACCGGTCTGAGTCAATGGCTGAAGCGGAACGGAACTACGAGATCTACGACCGAGAGATGCTCGCGATCATGCGTGCTCTCGAGAACTGGCGACACTACCTTGAAGGGCTCCCTGAACCCTTCGAGATCGTCACAGATCATCGTAATCTGGAGTACTGGCACACCGCACGGAACCTCACCCGTCGACAGGCTTGATGGTCTCTGTACCTCAGCCGCTTCGACTTCCATCTTACGCACAAGCCGGGCAAGACGAACACCCAAGCCGATCCCCTCTCCCGCCTCCCGACCCACCAGACTACGGATGCGGAGGACAACAGAGATCAAATTGTGCTGGGACCGGAACGGTTTGTCTCCCTGTCGGCCACGCTCACGGATACGAGCACTCTGGAGCAGGAGATTCGAGACGCACAGGTACTCAACCCTGAAGTCATCGAGGCTCTCCGCATCCTCAAGGAGAAGGGCCCTCGGAAACTGGCGAACAGGCTCCTTGAGTGGGAAGTGCGCGATGACCTCATCTATCACCACGGGAAGCTCTACATCCCCCCTGGTAAGGACCTTCGCAAATGAGTCGTCTTCTTGTGCCACGACGTGATCACAGCAGGACATCCTGGACGGAACGGGACTATCGAGCTGGTCAGCCGTCTCTACTGGTGGCCGCAGCAAGACACGTTTGTGCGCAAGTACGTCGAAGGCTGTGACACCTGCCAGCGTCGTAAAGCCCCTCGTCATCCTCGAGGCACGCTCCAACCCCACGATGTATCCGAAGGCCCATGGCAGACAATGGGAGTAGATCTCGTTACTGGACTTCCCTCTGTGCGCGGGTACGACGCGATCATCGTCTACAGCGACCACTACAGTAAGCAGGTCCATGTGCTGCCCACCACGACAGACGTCTCTGCTGAAGGAGTCGCGGACATCCACTACTGAGAAATCTTCCGTCTCCATGGTGTTCCGGAGAAAGTTGTATCCGATCGAGGACCCCAATTCGCAGCACGCTTCATGAAAGCCCTGTACGAGAGGTTTGGCATTCAGCACGCACTCACCATGGCATATCACCCCCAGTCCAACGGTCAGACGGAATGGGCGAACCAGGAAGTGGAGAAGCACCTACGTCTCTTCTCCAACCTGCGACAGGATGACTGGGTAGACCACCTGCCGACGGCTGAGTTCATGCTCAATAGCCACGTCCACTCGGGCCTCCAAGTGTCCCCCTTCGAGATCATCTACGGCTACCAGCCCAACTTTACGGTACCCATTGGCGCTCCCACTAAGTTCCCCGCGCTGGACAAGCGTCTAGAACTGTGGCGTGATGTGCGGAAGGACACGGAGGCGGCTCTGCGTATGGAGAAAGCAGCCATGAAGGAGTCGTTCGAACGTGACAAGCCAAAGCCCCACGAGTTCAAGCCCGGAGACCGCGTCTGGATGGACTCACAGGATGTCACCATCCATCAGGCCAGCCGCAAACTGGGACCACGACGACTTGGACCATACGAGGTACTGGAACGCACCGGCGAACTCACGTACCTACTTCAACTACCCCCCTCGATGCAGAACCGACATGCAGTCATTCACGTTGACCGTCTCACACCCTGGACCGGGAACGACGTCAACGGCATACTCCCACCCCTACCAGAACTAGTCGAAGTCAAAGGGGAACTCGAGTACGAGGTCGAAAAGATTGAAGACAGCCGCACGTACCGTAACCAGTTCCAATACCTGGTCAAGTGGAAAGGCTACGACGAAGGCCAGAACAGCTGGGAGCCGGCAAAGGACCTCACTCATTGCCAAGAGCTTATCGACGAATTTCATGAACGGAACCCCACTGCCCCACGCCGAATCGCTGCCGCCGTCTTCCAATCCCTTCCCTGGCAACCCCTTGTCAACTTCACCACTGCCGCACCCTCCGAACTTGAATGGGCTTCCAGACGACGCCCTGGCCTAGGGTCCATCGGGGACCGACGGACATTAGGAGGGGGGTAATGTCACGGACGTTGGACAGACGCCCCGTTTTGCCGCCCATTCCCCTCCCCTTGACGCCCACCTTCCATTTTCGGACCATTTCCTTTCTCAGCCCATCCCAGTTTGGACACTGTAGATACGTTCCCACACCCGCATGCTACGTTCCCGTGATCGCCATGCCTTTGCCTTTTCCTTTCCGCCCTTTGTTCTCCCTTTGTCATCTTCACTGCCTCGCTCTCACGCCTTGTCTTTGGTTGCTAAGCAGCCCCTCGAGTATATAAGGACCCCCTTAGGCGCTCCCTAGTCCCCATCTCGACCTCTTGGTCATTGGGACTAGGTGAGTGGCCGTAGCGTTGTATCTCCCTTCGTTTGCTAATGTATAACTTGGTCATTGGGACTAGTCTGTCGCTGTCTGCGTGAAGACTAGCTTTCGTACGTCTCGTGCCTTCGTGCTGACCTGTCGCGGCGACTAGGCGCGTAGACTCGGGTCGACATTCGGCGACAACCCCGTAGGCGAGCGGCAAGGAGCCAAAAGGGAAAAGAGAGAGGGAAAGGGATAAACGTGACAGAAAACTCGACGAGGGCAGAGCGGAGGTCGGCACGAAGGCACGAGACCTACGAAAGCTAGTCTTCACGCAGACAGCGACAGACTAGTCCCAATGACCAAGTTATACATTAGCAAACGAAGGGAGATACAACGCTACGGCCACTCACCTAGTCCCAATGACCAAGAGGTCGAGATGGGGACTAGGGAGCGCCTAAGGGGGTCCTTATATACTCGAGGGGCTGCTTAGCAACCAAAGACAAGGCGCGAGAGCGAGGCAGTGAAGATGACAAAGGGAGAACAAAGGGCGGGAAGGAAAAGGCAAAGGCATGGCGATCACGGGAACGTAGCATGCGGGTGTGGGAACGTATCTACAGTGTCCAAACTGGGATGGGCTGAGAAAGGAAATGGTCCGAAAATGGAAGGTGGGCGTCAAGGGGAGGGGAATGGGCGGCAAAATGGGGCGTCTGTCCAACGTCCGTGACACGACCTCCGCTCTGCCCTTATCGAGTTTTCTGTCACGTTTATCCCTCTCCCTCTCTCTTTCCCCTTTCGGCTCCTTGCCGCTCGCCTACAGGGTCATCGCCGAACGTCGACCTGAGTCTACGCGCCTAGTCGCCGCAACACAGACCCTTGTCACGCCCCCTTCCCTTTTTGGTTACATTACCCGACCCTGACCTAGACTCAGGACCCTGCCCCGCCTCTATCCCCTTTCGGTTATATCACAGGACCCTGACCTAGGTTGTGTACTATACTGGGCCCAGCCTCGACCAGACACGTTCCTTTACAGTCTCCTCATACCTCCCCACTTTGGTCGGTTCCCTTTCCTTCCTAATATGGTCGGTACCCCATAGTATATAAGGAGGCCTATAGTCGGTGTTCTCCTCTTTGTTACCTCCTGTATCCCTATGTTGAACTTGGACTTATCCGGTCCAGACTACACGAGGCTATGCGTCTCCTAGCGCTTAGCTGTAGTCGCTTATGTAGTATGTTACCATATTTGGGACTCTCTGCTCGTGTACTATAGCTATGTTTCCGGACTCTTCTGGTACTGTCTAGGACAATCTATACTACTCCAGAACGGTCTAGACAGGTCTATGCCTTACTCATCTCTTACTCATCCTATGGTGTGATATGTCGCAATTCTTTCACCATCGTATTATTCATCGCACTATGATACATGTGACTAACCACTCTTCGATTAGTCATGGACACTTCTCTGTAGTATATAAGGACTTCAGATTGTGTCCTCCCTCTTCAGTCTTTCCTTACTGACTGAAGATCTTGCTTCGACTCTAGTCGAATCTAATCTTTGTCTTCACAGCCCCGAGTTTATCAGAATGTTTTTGCACTCGCCCATCTTAATCGTCTTAAAGTGTCTTAATCGAGCATCTTAATGCTTACATCTTAGACGGCCTTAAAGCCATCTTAAGCACCTTAATGCCCTTAAAGGCAATTTTAAGGGGCATTAAGTGATTCCCAGGTTTACTGATGCCGCCCTAGGTTTGCTGAGTGTCACCTTCAATTATGAGGACCGGGAGAGTTGAGTAGATGGAGATCACAGGCCAAGACGGCGGGAGGTCTCTCGAAGGAGTCGCCGTGCATACGCAATAGCGGGGTCACAGAGATTGATGAGTGTCTGAAACACTGACGTAAAGTGGGGGAAATTGCTTCGAGTACTTGATGTGTTGATTTTGTTGCATTCATGGCGGCTCGTATAGCCTGACTTCCTCGCAGTATGATTAATCGCCGGTCCAGTCAGTTGTAATTTGCCTCCTCAGAATCTCCTGTAGAGCTCCGCCGTGTTGTACCATACTACTGCCATGGAGATTAGGCCAGCATTGATATTTACCACCGCCGTGCATCATCGCTCCGACGGGACTGCGATCCCCTCGATTGGGACTCATCTCGATGTGGATGGTTAACGCGCTCATACGTCGGAAATAACGTGCTTGAGGTCCTGAGACATGCTCCTGGAAATACGCCGTGCACGGTTATACGTGTCATCGGCAGAAGGGATGAGGCCATCCAGCAACATCAGCGCATACGATCTGATATCTATTCGACCTCTCCAAACGATGGGGGAGCAGTAGTCCGCCTGATAAGAGCATGCGTGCGTACGGTGGCAAAGTTCCACTTCCCACAGGCATCGTCTACTCAGTGATACCGCCCGAGCACGGCACCAACCCACCCACCACACCAGAGAGAGAGGGAGACGACCCCGAGAGCATTCCGAAGATGGAAGATAAGCCTCGAGCCTCCCTTGTGCTGGGTGAGCCGTTGGGCCATCTGGCGGCTCGATCGGTTAGCGGAGGTTCTTTGGGTCCACCACGCCCGCGTAGTGCTAACTTGTTAGGTTTGGCTTGACACGCCGCGTTGCCTGTGATGGTTCGGTTATCGGTCTGCCTGCACTGTTCACGCAAAGTTCGATCCATAAGGGATCCGGAGCGGCTACCTAACCCCTTAGAACTCGCTCGTGAAATAAGAACTGGGGTGATCGGACACTCACCGACACGCATTCTACTCGCCACGGAAGGTAGCGCGATCCTACCTTCGGGATGCTCGGGGATCCTATCTTGAGCTTATATGGGAGGGTGTGAACCTTACATCCAGCGCTCCGGGATCGTGCGTCCCGCCGGCGAATAAGATTTGATCTCCTCGCCGCTGCAAAAGCGGCCGTGCGAGAATATGCATGAGGTGGTACCATGTCGTCTTCTACGATTCAGATGAGAGACGATGGATGTGCGCAATGCGATGCGCGAGGTCTGCGGTGGCGAGAGGATGTCACTGTACGCGTGCGATTTCGGGTGATATGGCATGGAACATATGTACCATGGGAATGTCGTATTGAGATCGCGGAGAGACGGAGCGAGCGGTGGACCTTGGTTCTCGTTCTCAACCGCCGTGATGTCCCGACACAGAGTGCTCGGTGTCTGAGCCGTAGCACTGAAGGTTCAAGTGGTGACCAGCTGTCGAGGATATTCTGGCCCGGAGGCTAGCAGGCTGTGCAGAGATTCGCGACTGCACTAGGCAGCAGCCGCGAGCAATGAGGAGCTCGTCCTGAGCTTCGCGAAGAGGTGAACTGTCAATGAGATACCGGAAGCAGAGCGCCGCCGTACTGTTCGCTAGGAAGGCGGCGAGATGCAAGCTCAGTTCGAGGAGACAGACCACCACGAGCGTGTCGTGAGGCGTACCTGCCATTGCGGTCAATAGCAGATGACGCCCTCGCGTCTCATAGCGTTGAGGGTCTACTGCGCACAAAGTCATCGGACCACACGTCGTGAGCGATCGGGAGGCGGGAAGTAGTCTGCCTGCCAAATACACAGAACACCGCTTCTGCCTCGAACGTTCAGCAGAAGGCCAGGGCCTCGGGCGTACGAGAAGGTGGCGAGGGGAAGCTAGCAATAGAGAAAAGCGGACAGGCGGGGGAGATGTGCGTTTGGACACCAATCTGCAGGAGTGAAGCATCGATGCTGTGGCAGTCTAGATAGATCTTGGCAAGCGAGACGAGCCTGGGAGAGCCTTTGGGCGTTACGACGGGTTGCGCTGCCAAGCTCTCGTCTCCACCGAAAAATACGCACAAAAGGTCGTTGTGTACAGCATGGTGCAAGAGATGTCAGGGAGCAGAAGGCGGAAACAAAGAGGAGGGAACATAGTAATCGAAGGGCGCGCACTGGTACACGCCGGCCCACATGGAGCGGGGTCCGTATCGGCGTGCACCATCCGGCGCTAAGCGAGGACGACCCTGCGGCTGGCCCTCGGCGCCTCTTTCGTATTCTCTTCCTCCCCTTTGTGTTCGTCCTCGCTCTCCCTCCTTATAAACGAGCTGGCCACGACCCTGCACGACCATTCAACGACCTACTCAGCCCTAGACACACCACATACTGTCTATCAGCTCTCGTCGCCACCATGTCTATCGCATTCGAGACGACCCGCACCTCCTCGCTCGGACGACAGGCGAAAGAAAGCAGCGGCTCCAGCATCTCCAGACTCCCTGCACGGGTATCCACCTCGACCACCCCGCCCTCTCCCACCGTCAGGACATCCCGCCTTCGTCGACCAAAGCCCATCCCCAATTCCTACTGGGCCACCCCCTATCTGGTCGCGTGTGAGTTCCCGTTCTGCCCACAGACGCCCGAGCAAGTGCAAAAGCACACGAAGCAAAAGCTCGACGCGCTCCTGCTCGCAGGCGTCCGCACTTTCATCGACCTCACCGAGCCCCACGAGCTCTTCCCGTACTCGCCACACCTTACAGAGCGCTGCGCGCTCGTCGGCATCGACCCCCGCGAGGTCGAGTACCACAACTTCCCCATTCGTGATCGTTCGCTGCCAGACTCCGTCGACTTCGTTCGCCGCATCATGGCCGTCCTCCGCGACAACGAAAGCAGAGGGCGCATCGCCGCCGTTCACTGCCGCGGAGGTATTGGCCGCACGGGCCTCATCGTCGGGTGCTGGCTCGTCGATTGCGGGATCGCAAAGGACGGGGACGATGCGCTCCGAATGATCGCCGAGGAGTGGAAGACGGTCGAGAAGTGCAAGCGGTACCCGCTCAGTCCAGAGACCGGCCCCCAGCACGAGTACGTGCGCACGTTCGAGCGGGCGGCGTGGATCGATGAGAAGCACGAAGTGCTCTGAACTGAATGGGTTGACTGGACAGGGCGGATCGTCGGTGCCGGTGCGTCTCTATCCTATCTCAATTGTCGCTCTGCAGCTCATTCCGTTTTGACACAGCGTACGGTTCACGTCCTTCTCACGTTTTCACGTCTTCAAGCTCAACGCGCCTAAATGACGACTGTAAATAGGTTCCGTCCTCCCGCATCCGCATCATCTCTCCCGCATCTTCATCTGCGCATGCTGCTTCAAGTTATCTCACAATCCTCTGTCGTCATGTTTTCATGGTTTCTCGCCCTCATCAGTCCGTCGAAGCTCGGACATGCAGCTCTCCTGTCTCCTCATGTGCATGCCTACTGGTTGATCAGGCTCGGACCAACCATTCTCCACGATCACTTCCTGTACATACACTGCTCTCCATCTCTCTCCTCTCGCTTCTCATTCCGTTTTCTGTAGCACTCCGTTTCTGTCGCTATCCTCACGTCTCTGCAAGGGCTCTCCGATATGCGTTAGGCATACAGGTATCGGCATAGACGTACGGTACATATTCACTATTTTGTGCTTCATGACTCGATCATGTTACATCAGTATAGCGTGGTCTGTACTGGTCTAATGCATCATTTGTAAATACCCGACGCTGTTGATCAGAGAGTGAGGGTCTATGCGCGCGATGCTGCCATAATATTGTGGTGCGGCTGTGGTATGACACGAGGTTAGAGTGGTATCGCCTGTGCCCAGCTTTCCTTGAATTCGCAGCACGAAACCTGCTATCTGTAGCCACTGCATGCTCGAATTGAACTATTTGGCACGATGCCATGCACCGTACTCGCGGTATCCTCGCCTCGCTGTTCCGAGATCCCGCCAACTCACATAGTCGGCAGATCGCGCGAGATGATATCATGCGCAGATTCGCGGATCGATGATATTTGGAATTTCCCAAACCTGCGCCACATGTAAATACGCAACGGCAGAGTACTTGCGCCGTTGACGAGAACGCGAGGACGCGCCGGCGTTCTTCCGTCTCGCGAGCAAGTGAACAGTTAGTTGGTCGGGACGCTGGGTCCGGCGGGCGCAGCAAGCTCGGAATATCGGGACGAGGTGTCGTACTTGCTTGAAGATTGAGACGCCTACATTCGCGACCGCCGACGGAGACATTGACTTCGAGTTCGAACGGCCAGGTCGTGAACTGAGCTTGGCAGGCTGGGAACGTACGGACCGTAAATCCCCTCACTCACCTTCGGTACAGGAAAGTCTTAGGGCCTGTTCGGCAAAGAGTTGGAGTTACGAGTCACCGGCATTTTGTCACGTGGCGGCATTTCCGAGGATTTCTGCGCGAGTTAGAGTTACAGGGGCGGAGTACCCGTGAAGTCCGGAGGAGACAAGCGCCCTGAACTCGTACATGTATCTAGTATACCAATAGCTATGGCTTATCAGATGGGCTCTGCTTCATCCCTGCTTCACCATGGTCCACACAAGAGCAGCTGTCTAAATTCACCAAGCTATCCATCAGGCTCAAATAGAGCGCCGAAGACAGGCTATTATAGCAGTAACTGTCATTGTTTTGACTGGGCGGGCCTTGGTAGTAGCCTGCCCTAATCCCTCAAGTAGGATGGTCTCGGATGTCTGATCACAATCTACGCCTTAGCTCAAAACAAAACATGCTGCCAACAGGAGAACCGTACTCACGAATGACCCGGAGAAGTTCAGATCCCTCGCGTATAGCCGCTGAATTCGGAGTTAGCCTAAGGGCCTGTTCGGCAAAGAGTTGGAGTTAGAGTTACCGGCATTTCATGCCCAAATATAGTAATAATATCTCGGTTTTCAATCTCGAGAAAACTCGAGTTACTCGGGCGAGTGCATGCGTTCGGATGCCTCCCAGTAACTCCGGGCGGTTATTATCAGCTCAGGTCATAACTTATCTCGAGGCTCTACCCTTTTGGCAGCCTGCTTGATTCTCTCTCTATAGAGTATTGGGATGGCTACCATGACCTGCTGATCCTTATCTGTGAACTCCAGAAGGTGACTGGCAATTATGTATAGTCTCGTTGTGCAAGTAAGTCTCGAAGTCCAGTCCAGCTCACTTGAAGGTGCAGGTGCTCCGGTCGGCAATTGTTCTCGGGAGCGCTCTCGCCTCTTCTGGTGGATGGATATGTACTGGTGGCGGCTGAGCTGACAGCATATCTGAAGCTCTGAACAAGTGTGCCGTGGCCCGTGCTCGGCGGCACGGTGGACGTTCTCAACGTCCGAGCGCGCATCTCATGCTCCCGTGAGTTCTCGCGACTGCTTGTAAATGGCATAGATTATCACCAACGCTGACGCCCTTTTACAGAAGCAGTGCCTACTGGGGCGTGCTTTGAAACGTGGTGGACGGGCGCTGGTTAAGTTGGGCCGATACGGTCGGAGGCGTTCTGCTTACTCGCGCATCTACTACTATAAAAGGGCATCGACATGGGTAACAACCACTTGGAGGACGTCTACTGTCGAACATGCCGTTACGTGGATTTAGAAGTTCGGACAAACGCCATGCTTTGGATACCCACCACGCGTGACTCAGCCTTATAAGCTGCACTCTGCTGCCTCGTTGAACATCCTTGACGGCTCTCCCCTGCCAGTCTGACCCTGCCTCCCACGTCAACCAACACAATGAACGTCTCTCATCTCGTCGGCGGAATGGATGGCATGCACTTCTGCGACGTCAGATCTTAGGCTGATGATGGTGAGTACGTCGTCTGCGACTCGTTACCCAGTGAATGTTGTGTCCTCACCATCACTGATGTCTCCCAGGGACTGTCTTTCCCAATGAGCCTAGTTCTTTTCTTAGCAATGGACCTATAAATCCCCCCCCCATCTATTGACCTGCCACAGATCGTCGTTTAATTGACAGAAAGTGTTCAAATACTGAAATCATCCTTTGTTATGACTACATCGTCTGTTCACCCCCAATCCGTTGGCAGTGATCAAGAGTCTTCTGATGCATCTTCTACACAGGTGGAAGGCATCGCCATCACTCACCAGCTCGAAGACGGCCAGACCGTCAAGCTCTCTCATGGCAGCTGCTGGGCAAAGCCTACTGCTATCGTCACCTTTTGTCGTACGTCTTCTATCGAGTCTCTTGGGCGTCCGCTGACAGTCGTGTGCGACAGCCAAAGAGTCCTTAGTCGGGGTCTTCGGTCTCGCTGGACCGCCGACGTCCTGCGAAAAGCGCGCGATGATCAACAGCATCAACTTCGTCATTCTCGACTCCAAGACTATGACAATTCGCACGGAAGGGGTATGCAGCGACAGTGATAACTCAGTTTCGCACAGGCCCTGATACTCGCCTACAGCCTTTCGGGAATAGTAACGAAAGCGACGAGGGTGCGCTATTCTGTCTCCGACGTCTTCGCATTTGGCGGGTTTGCTGAGAGTAACACCATCCGTGCGTGAAAGAAACCCGTCCGGTCGGAGCATCATTCCTGATATTGATGTCGTGGTCCGCCTTAGATGGCCTCTTTGGCCTATTCTTCTACAAGGACCTCAATAAGGCCTGATTATTTGTGATGCTCCAATGCTGGAAGACATCCATTGTCTTCTCTAACTCGTGGCGTAAATTGCAATGGAATGTGACTTGAGGAGGCTATGCTGTGTGCTATAAGCGAACGGTTGGCAGGTAGTGTTTCATATCCGGGATGCCCCTTACGCAGCAGGGTCATAACTCCACTGGTCGCTGCGGGCCTGGTGAGATAGAAGTCGTCTCTTTCTCCCTTCCCTGTAACCGTTATGTTTGACCCTAGATGGCGCCACTTGACTCGCAGGCCACATAGTCCGCTATTCCTGGATACTGATTAGTTATCACCAACCACTACCATCCCTGACGAATGCGTGAGTATAAATGCTGTACCTTACGGCTGAGCGACGTTGCTAACGCTTCTGTGTAGCCAGTAATACCAGTCTTCGGGCCGGCGCTAATAATAATCACATATTTCTCATAGCCGGAGCTCCCAACATGTATCAGCTTCTTGTCCAACTCCGAGAAGTACTAAAAGCCGACTGAGAACGGGTCCTCAAGCTCAAGATTGAATATCGAATGGCGATCTGAGGTCAATAGCATGGTGAACTTGATATGCCAGTCAAGGGCGAATGGCTGCACGAACAACTTCACCACGTGCAGCATCTTTCCACTTCAGCCTTACTAGGCGTTGCGTGCGAGGTCCGACATCCCTTTCGAGATCTTCTCGTCCCTTCAATATTGCCAATAGTGAGCGCTAGAAGCGACACCCGGTTCGGTACCGGATTCGCATTCGTCTACGACGCCGGTGTCATATAATGCAGAGGAGCTGTATAGGTGTTGAACCCGGGGGGCGAAGGCCTCTCCCACGGGTGGCAACGACAGCGGATAGCCTGCAACTCACCTAGAAGGGTTGTTGGTTGTAAGAGGCTTGTTAGAGCGATGAGAGGAGATGTTCGAGTGAACTGAACTGTAGATTGGGGGTACAGAGGTCCCCTATATATACTACTGTACATCTGTGGCTACGTAGTACTATACAGTACATTCCCAGGATGCACAGTCGCACAGAGAAGCAGTGCGTACACAGCAAAGCTGTGTGTGTACCACATGAGTAGTACAGCCTCGGTTATTGCAGTAACCGGCTGTGCCGTTCCATATCTTGTGACGGCTGTGTTAGGCAAGCTGTGTAAACCAGCGCCTGTTCAACACTCCCCCTCGCTAAGTATCCGAATGGTTACGCAAGCGTAGCAGGCGCTTTAAGCAGCTCTGGACTTTGGGAAGCGGAGACCAAGTT